ATATCTACATGGTCACGGGTCGCCATTACAGGCAGCAGCCATCTTGCACCGCCATCTTGTCTATGAAGGCTCATGAAGGACAAACTGCGGTGGCGGCGTTAAAAACGGTTTTAGTTGTAATACTATAAATGTAATATTTGTTGTCTGTCATTGTAGCTGGGATAATTTTACTTATTAAACCTCATAATCTTACCACTTGAAACATCACTAGTCCTGAAGCTGCTGGTAGACATSGCGGTTGGACTTATCAAAGGTTTTTGACACCTGAGAGACACCGTAGCAACTCCTTTGCGTTTGGAAGCAGGGGGTGGGGGTGGGGGGAGGACCAGGGAGGATGATTCAACCACTAGATGTCACTGAAAACAACAAATCCTACATACTGTGCCTTTGAACGGCAAATATCTCTGCTGCTGGCTACGTTTGAAACCCCCACAGCTCCACCTAGTGGTGGGATGTTGTCATTTTGCAGGTAGAATAATTGACGTACGTATTATGATGTAGTTTATGGTCAATGCTGGACATTTTAGAGATGAGGTTTTCTCCTGGCAGTCCACAAATTGTCCTGTCCTGAACTTTAACCTTTATTCTTCTAACGGTCCAGGTTTTCTTTGTACACATCTTAGTTTCCATAAATCCTCCTCAGAACAACACACGATCCAAAACACTGGAATATATTGTCCTTTATTCATTCTAACTGATGTGTAATCTTAAATATTAAAACCAAGTAAAAATGTCCATACACACACACACACACATATATATATACACAACAGCAGAAGCAGGAGTTTGGGCTGAACTGAGCAGGACATTGTTGTGCTTTTTGACTATACACGGCCGAGGACAGCGCTTAACAAACTGTTCTACAGCTGCAGTACATGATACGAAACGCTCCAGTGTTAGCTTCYCTCTAAAAAGGATTCGGATAGCTCCAACTTAAGATCAGGCTGTGCCTCCTGAAGGTAAGAAAGGGCAGGCTCCACAGTTAATTTACAATTTTGTTCCCCAAACTTTATTACTAGCACCAAATAATAGCCTGAAACCTAATAAAAAGCAGAACGATCTCTAATCAGCTGTAAAATGGAACTGTTCCCACCTTGATGGATATTGATCTTGGCATCTAAAAAGCTTGAGATTATTTGTTTTTATCTCTGCACATTATTTTAAATGTTAACAATAATTATACTCAACATTTTATGTAAAACTGTCATCCTTCAGGCCAAGAGGATAAATTACGTTCTGTGAAACATTCTTCCTGTCCAACCCAAAAGCATAGTATCGTCATTTTAAAGTAGTATATAGGCAACGGTGATCAGAGCAAACACAACGAATCAAAAAGAGATAGCACACGAACAGAACACCTGTAACAGACATGAAGAAAGACGAACATTAGGAAATCAATCTGTTTATATGAGATAAGAATATGGCGTTTACTGTAGAGCTGCTGTCTAATGGAACTACTCGTCAGCGTCAAAATAAAAAACKTCTTTAACCGTGACGTGGTGGCGGTGTGCGGAAGGTCTTTGTAAACATTCTCTGTTCTAGGCCTCGGATTCAGATTGGTCTGTGGCGACGCTGCCGTTCAGCTCGCCCAGTCCTGATTGCTCCTGGATGTCGGTCATCTCCCCGACGGTGAAGATGGGCTCCACCGCTTTGCTGTTGGYCGAGCCGCCGTCCGTCTGCTTGGCCGCCTGCTCCACCAGCGTGGGCTCCTCGTCCAGCCTGCTGGAGATGGACCAGTACAGGTGAGCGTCCAGTCGGGCTGCGGCCAAGGCTAGCTCCCGTGCCGAGCAGGAGGGCGTGTCCACCTGGGGGGTGGGGGTGCGGGGTGGGAGTAGTAGATGATAAATCAACTCATGAAGGTAGAGAAGAAAKGTTTGGTGAAAAGCTAAGTTACAGTTTTTTCAGTGAACCTGGTAAAATACCAGATTTTAAATGTTTGTTCATTTTACACTTTGATTCTGACTCATCAGTTATCTGAACACTAAAAGATATGGGTCATCCATCCATCCATCCATCCATCCATCCATCCATCCATGCAATTATCCATCCATCCATCCATCCAATTATCCATCCATCCATCCATCCAATTATCCATCCATCCATCCATCCAATTATCCATCCATCCATCCATCCATCCATCCATCCACTT